TGGGCTCAAGGTTGACTCAGCGTTCCATCCTTCTGAGGTGGGTAAAATGAGGAGATTGTGGAGGGCAGCGTGCTGACTCTGTAAACTGCTTTGAGAGGACTGTAAAACACTGTGAAGTGATATATAAGTGCTATTGCAACATCATACTGCAAATGTCATACTTCACATTTTTTATGATGGGCTGCTGTAATCAAAGATCCAGTTCTTTCCTATGGGCAGGTGAGGTCACAATTCATGTACAAAAGAGGTCAGCTTGCATTGATTAGTGCAATGTGCTTCAGTCATTTGCCATTTCCCTTCCCCCCCCCCCATCGCCTTCCTGCCAATGCCACTTGGTGGGAGAGCAAAATAAAAGAAGGAAGAAGGATCTCTGAATTATTTTTTAACTTGTAGATGGTTCTGAATTGGTTCATCTGAATCATAGGGCCAGAAGAGGCCTCAGAGGTCTTCTAGTCTAACCCCCTGCCCAAGGGAAGAGACACTATTGCATTCTGGACAAATGACTATCTAGTCTTTTCTTGAAGACTTCCAATAATGGAGCATTCACAACTCCGGGAAGCAAGCTGTTCCATTGATTAATTGCTCTTACTGTCAGGAAATTTCTCCTTAGTTCCAGGTTGGTTCTCTCTTTAATGAGTTTCCACCCATTGCTTCTTGTCTTACTTCCAGGTGCTTTGGAGAATAACTCAACCCCCTCTTCCCTGTGACAGTCCCTGACGTACTAGAAGAGAGCTATCATGTCACCTCAATCTTTTTCTTCTGTTAGGTTAGACCAGGGGTGTCAAACTCAATTTCATTGAGGGCCGCATAAGCATTGCGGTTGCCCTCAGAGGGGTGTGGCTTACTGGGTGGGCATGGCCAGCTCTACATTGTTCGTGTCAAGGGAGCCTGTGGGGGCCTGGGCAGGAGTGGGACAGATCTGAGGGTCTCTGGCAAAAGGGGGTGGGGTGGGACCAGGGCAAGTGCCAAGGCATGGTCCACGGAGGAGCCTCACTGTTCCTTTCAGGCCATGCGAGGGGGGGGGGGGGCGCTGGATGGTGGTGCCACAAAATTGTCCATTAGCTCCCGGCTGGCCTGGGACAGGGCCAAGGCAGCGGGGGCCGTTCCCTCACTGTTTCCAGGATGGCTTCATGGGCCACATGAAACCACTTCGCGGGCCGCATCCGGCCCCCGGGCCTTATGTTTGACATGTCTGGGCTAGACATACCTAGTTCCCTTAATCATTCATCACACAGCTGGGCCTCCGCAACTCTTACCCTCTTTGTTGCTCTTCACTGTGTTCTTTCTTCCCTTTCCTTGAGTTAGTAAATCCATTACAGCAATAGCAATAGCACTTATACTGCTTCGTAGTGTTTTACAGCCACTCCCTAAGCAGTATACAGAGTCAGCATATTTCCCCCAACATTCTGAGTCCTCATTTTATTGACCTCGGAATTATCTAATTCTTGGTCTGGTTCTGGGTGGAATAGATGGAATCCACTTGCAACAGACCATAGTTACTCTATAAGGGATGCATAGAATATGAGATGGTTCAGATTTTGTATCATCATATAGGTGTGTGTGTGTGTGTATAGAATAGAATAGAAATAGAATAGAATAGAGTAGAGTAGAATAGAATAACAGAGTTGGAAGGGACCTTGGAGGCCTTCTAGCCCAGCCCCCTGCTTAGGCAGGAAATCCTATACCATTTCAGACAAATGGTTGTCCAATCTCTTCTTTAAAGGTGTTGGAGCATTCCAACTTCTGGAGGCAAGTTGTTCCATTGATTAATTGTTCTTACTGTCAGGAAAATTCTTCTTAGTTCTAGGTTGCTTCTTTCCTTGATTAGTTTCCATCCATTGCTATTCCATCCATGTGTAGCTATTGGAAGTGATACATGGAACATAGAATAATAGAGTTGGAAGAAAATGTGGAGGTCTTCTGGTCCAACACCCTGCTTGAACAGGGGACCTATGTCGTTTCAAACAAATGGCTGTTCAGTCTCTTTTTGAAAGCCTTCAACTTGGGACTAAGCAGAATTCAGATGTGGCTCCTTCTTGATTGTGAGATCTCCAGGTAATCCACTGACCATAGGCTAAAAGAAAGATGTCACATGGCAACCCATTTCTGTACCACTGGTGAAAAAAACCATGAAATCACCAGGGATCACATTTGACTGAGGAGATTTTACTCCCTCTGTGTTGTAAAGTGTTACAGAACTTTCATAAATGATTGGGTCCTCTCTTTGTCTCATTGTTGTTAACTTGTTAAGATTCACCACTTGCTTTAGCTACACAAACAGCATTGCCACATAGGCAGAAGAATCCTGCAGAAGATAAACAGTGTTGTCTTTCTCACTTCTGCAAATGGAATCAGAGCTTCTAGTAAACACTTCCTAGAAAGTTTCTACAGTAATGTGATATTGGCGGGCTTAGAGCTCCTGCTGGTTGAAAGTGATTAATATTTATTCTCTGGCACAGCAATCTGCTGTTTATGCCAGAGCTGGATTGTTGCCCTCTCACACACCACCCACTCCTCAGCCCATGGGGTGGCAGTGAGAGACATTCACACAAATGTGATGTGTGCTGAAAGACTCTTCCTGGGGATGGGTGTGAAACAAAAGATGTTCTGATGGAAAGCACAGCATTCAGTTCCTGCCTAAAATACTTTGATAATACTGACATATTGGGGAAGCTGGCTATAATTAAACAGGTTAGAACCTTGCCTATTTAAACAAATTGAAATGACAGGTGACACAGACTGGAATAAAAAAATATGGATGTTAAGCAGTGGATTTGGCCCCTTAGTGAATTGTAATCCCCTTCTTTGAGCCAGGGTGAATTGGGGGCTTGCCTTTTTTAAACCCCTCCCCCCAACCCTTTTGTCATGGCACTGGGATCAAGATATTTACTCAGTCACACAAAATAACAGAGTTGGAAGGGACTTTTTGAGGTCTTCTAGTCCAACCCCTTGCTCAACCAGGGAAATCTGTACCATTCTGAAGAAATTGCTTTGTCCAATGACTTCTTAAGGAACCCTCCAGCGATGAAGCATCCTCAGCTGTTGAGGCAAGCCGTTTCACTGATTAGTAATAGTAGTGTAATAGTAATAAAGTTGGAAGGGACCTTGGAGGTCATCTAGTCCAACCCCCTGCTCAGACAGGAAACCCTACACCATTTCGGACAAATGGCTGTCCAGTCTCTTCTTAAAAACTTCCAGTGTTGGAGCATTTACTGCTTCTGGAGGCAGGTTGTTTCACTGGTTAATTGTTCTCACTGTCAGGAAGTTTCTCCTTAGTTCTAGGTTGCTTCTCTCCTTGATTAGTTTCCACCCGTTGCTTCTTGTCCTGCCTTCAGTGCTTTGGAAAATAGCTTAATTCCCTCTTCTTTATGGCAGCCCCTGAGATATTGGAATACTGCTATCATATCCCCCCTTGTCCTTCTCTTCGTTAAACTAGACATACCCAATTCTAGCAACCGTTCCTTATATGTTTTAGCCTCCAGTCCCCTAATCATCTTTGTTGCTCTTCTCTGTACTCTTTCTAGAGTCTCAACATCTTTTTTACATCGTGGTGACAAAACTGGATGCAGTATTCCAAGTGTGGCCTTACCAAGGCATTGAATTGTTCTTACTGACAGGAAAATTCTCCTTTGTCCTAGATTGGATCTGTATTTCTTAAGCTTCTTCTCTTGCCCTCAGATGCTTTGGAGAATAGATTCAACCTCTCTTCTTTATGACAGTCCCTCAAATAATGGAAGAGTGCTATTCCTGTCACCCCTAGTCCTTCTCTTGGTTAGATTAGACATTCTCAGTTCCAGCCCCTGGAACATAGAACTGAGAGATTGAAATGCTTGCAGAAAATGTACACAACAAAGACAGGAAGATAGATTTGGAAAAGCTACGTGCAAAGAGGACCGAAATGCTATGATTTTAGAAACATCACGGGTCTTCACATTTTGACAGATGGGACTGCAGACCAATGCTGTGGAAAGCTTTGTTCATTTAAAATGTCCAGGCTCTGTCCTGCATTATTTCTGGTCACCCACATGTTTATCAAAATGAGCTGCAGAAAATCAGAACTGTATGACTGAAAGCTGTCAGGAAATTGCCATGCCCGCCCCCAGCAGTTTCCGTTGTATTTTAAGACACTGCTAAAAGGAAGACTAGACCGTGATATATTCACACAAAGGTTCAATCTTCTTTTAAATAGGGGGCTCCAATTCTGCCCCAAAGTGGGTGGAGAAAATCTGGGCTGAACAGATTCATGAAGGAAAAGTCAAGAAAAGGTCTAATGATTAAATTGTGCAAAGGAAATGCAGCCTCCACCCTCTTGCGCACTCAGTAATTATAAGATCCCCCCAAGGAAGAGTCTCAAAAATAGACACTTTTTCAGTCTGGAGATTTTAAAAGCCAACTCTAATAAGGAAACATGAGAATAGCTTGGGCAGTGGGAATTGCATCTTTGCTGCATAGACTGCATGGTCAACAGTAACTTTGAGGAAATTAATTAACGTTCCAAAAACTTTGGAATCATGTCAGATTTTATTTTATTTTTATTTTTTCAGTACAAGAAAACATTGAGTGCCTTCCCTGTTACATTCCTGGTAGCTCTTATTTGGGTTAAGACTTGCTCCCAAAGTTCTGCAAAATTAAGCAACTCTCTTGGGATTTTTCCAGTCGGATTGTGCAACCTTGCCTCTTCCTGCCAAGAGCTCTGTCACATTCCTTGTCTTTCCTCTCCTGTTCTCCTGCCACTGTAAACCATCTTTCCAGTTTAGCAGACTGCCCTTGTTAAATTCAGAAGGATCTTTATTAGAATCTTTATTATTGAGAGAGGCATTCAAATGTTAATGGATAACTCTAAAAGGGCCGGTAACTGTCATATTAAAACAGATGCTTTGGGCTGCAGAAAGTTTATGGGGGCTTTGTACTCAGTTTGCTTTCAGGCTCAGGTGAAAAAGTTGTGCTATTCTCCACCATCATGACTGAATTTCTTTGGCTGCTTCTTCTTCTTCTCTTAGGTTTGTCAGTTTGTGATTTCAGTGAATGGGCTCAACGTTCTCCATGCAGATTACAGGACTGTGAGCAACCTCATCTTAACCGGTCCACGGACCATCGTCATGGAAGTGATGGAAGAAATCGAGCCTTGAGATGGATGTTTGACCTGCTGCTCCACCATTGTGGATTCAGACACTGAGCAAACAAAACCAACATTACATAAGGGGATAAAAGCATACTTTTTCTCAGAGATCAATTTTGCCTTCTAAGTACTTTCCTCCCCTCTTTCATAATAGAGTCTTCAATGGATGTAGTCTAAGACCATGGGTATGCATTGGTGAGTCTAAACTAGAGAAGCACAAATCAGCTTGTACCACACAAAGGAACTGTTGCACATCCAAGTCACAGCAAGCTTAGATAGTCAATCCAATGGATGAGCAAGATCCAATGCAGCTGTGAAATCTCTCCTTAGGAATCATGTTTGTGCCAAGCTCTTCAATGTTGTCTTGTTTTTCTTTTAATTTGTGTTTTAATTTGTAACTGTATAGAATGAGCCCAGTTTTTCCACTGTAATATCTCCAGACATATTATAAGCCACAACTTTCAGAATTCCTAGCCAGCAGAAACAATAGCTGAACTGGCTGAGAATTCAAGAAGTCAGTGTCCAATTTGTGGAACATATCCAGATACTAGCTTTGATTTTAAGGATCTGGTAACAATTTCAGTTCAAATGTACAGCTAGACGTAAACTTTTATTTTAAAATAAGGATTGTTACAAATTTGGTACTAAGAAAGACCCAGTTCTATTTCCTGGACAAATTATGGAACAGGAAGCAAGTGGACATTTTATACATGCTGTCTTTGCATAATTAAGTCTGTTCTGTAACTTGGCTAATCTTGAAAAGCTAAACCAGTTAGATCTGGTGAGGTCTTTAATAGGGGATCACTAGCAAATCCTGTGTCTTAAGTTTTAGACTGGGAAGTTGAGAAACTATCCCAAAAGAAATGATGGTAAATTACTTTCATATTGTTGCCAACAAAATGATATGGTTGTATCTATGTAAATCTATCAGGCTTGAGCTCAATTCAGGGAAATCTTTATCTTTTTGTCTATGAAGATGGAGAAGAAACTTTACCAAGTACAATTCTGCCCTCACCTTGACAAAAATCTCATTTAAGAGTGCAGAAGAGCAGACAGAATTCATTCTTACTGCATACCACACAGTCCAGTCTTGTTCATACAGAATAACAGAGTTGGAAGGGACCTTGAAGGTCTTCTAGTCCAACCCCTTACTCAAGATGGAGACCCTATACCATTTTAGACAAGTGGTTGTCCAGTCTCTTCTTAAAACCTCGGGTGATGGAGCATCCACAACTTCTAAAGACAAGCCATTCCACTGATTAATTGTTCTGTCAGGAAATTTCTCCTTATTTCTAAGTTGGATCTCTCCTTGATTAGTTTCCATCCATTGCTTCTTGTTTGGTATGAGCTGTGGTGGCGCAGTGGTTAGAATACAATATTGCAGCCTAACTCACTGCTCACTGCCAGGAATTCGATACTGACCAGCTCAAGATTGACTCAGCCTTCTATCCATCCAAGGTTGGTAAAATGAGGACCCAGATTGTTGGGGGCAATATGCTGAAGCAGTATATAAGTCTAAGTGCTATTGCTACATGCTACATATTTCTGGAATTATAGTGTAAACCATCAGCTTACACTATAATTTGACTAACAAGCACTTTGTTACAATTTAGATCCTTTTTTTATAAATAAGGTGGATAAATATAGATGCCACAATTTTAAGACATCCAAGATTCCAAGATACTGTTTTGAATACATCTATGATATTGCCAAAAGCAAACCAATCTACTCTTGTCTGTCAGTTGCAGAAGCCCAAGCAAATAAATCTTATAAGCCATGCAGATAAATGTATATTAATCACAGTTGCTTAGCATTCTTCAATCTTTCTGTTAATAACGCTCCTGCAAGGGATAAAGATCCCACTGGTATTCTTTTAGGTCCTAATCAACTTGTCGTGAGAAGCTGTGATTCACACACTTCATCTGTCCCTAATAAGATCTCCAATGGCCAACCTAGACCTGAAATTAATTGTGTGAATGCACTTATCAAACACAATTTGTCTTACACATAATAGCCACAGGGAAAGGTTGATATTGGGAACATGGCAAGCAGAAACAAAGAATTTAAATGTTCTCACTAAATACTTTTAGAGCTTTTGTAGTTTAGAACAGTGGTCCCCAACCTTTGCAGATTGGCGGCCTGACTGGGGTAAGAGGGGAACTAGGCCGCACAAGTGGCAGATTGGTGAGTTGAGCTGCACACATGCCCATCTGCATTGGCCCTCCACTTTCTCTGCCCGGTTTTGGATAAGCCACGGCTGGTTAGCAGGCCCCTGGTTTAGAAGAGACTTCCACTGATAATTGGGAGAACTTTCCCAATAATGGACATGTTTATTGGGCACTGCGAGGAAGAGCAAAAAGTCTCTCAGCTCTAATTTAGCTGCAGTTAAATTAGGAAGGAAGGAAGACTTAGGGCAGAAAGGTGAAGTAAATCTGGCCTTTATATTTCAGCCGAGTCACACATGAGCTGAATTTACCACAATACTATCAGGCCTGGTAAAGATTTGGATCATTCACAGAAATCACTAAGTAGTACTGGTAATCCTCAACTAACCACCCCAATTGAGACTGGGAATCTGGTCATCAATTGAGGCACCATGTGACCGGACTTTTTTTGTTTTGTTTTACATTCTTTGCAGTGGTTGTTAAGCAAACGCCATGGTCATTAAGGGAACCCATTCTTCTCAATGGGAATTTTGGTCAGAAACTGGCAAAAATGCCAGAAGGCATCCAAATCTGTTGCAAACTGTGGTCGCCAAGTGCCTAAAATGCAGAAGTGTGACTGCAGTGGTGAGGTGGGGAGTATGACATTTTATGATGGCCAAAAGTGCTTCATAGACCATAAAGCACTCCTTCCAAGACTGTGGATGTTCTGAACAGTCCAAAACTGACCAGACATAAGTTGAGGACTGCCTATATTAATCTTAGTTTGCTATGGCTTTGTGAGCTGGGTGAATCCAGCCTTTTTAGTGGTTTTATGATTCAGTTTATTATGGGTAGCCAGAAAAAATGGTTAATTCCGAACCCAGATGAACATAGCCTGATTCTAATAATTAATCTTGCATCAAGTCATCAATGGTCATTAAAATAAATTGAAGATATTATTATTATTAATAATAATGATGATGATGATGGAAGGGACCTTGGAGGTCATCTATTCCAACCCCCTGCTCAGGCAGGAAACCCTATACCATTTCAGACAAGTGGCTGTTCAATTACTTGTGGTACCGTCCTTCCACAAAACTGTACCATCTCTACCGCGATATAATTTGCAGCGTTAACCACTGGAATGTCTGCGGTCTGTGGAAGGCCATAGCAGCCATGCCAGCTAAGGTGAAAGGTGAAATGTGAAATGTGGCTTCATAGGGGCTTCATAACAAATGCTCTTGCAGCACCAAGTTTAAACACTTTCTCAAGAAGCGAGGCTGTGAAGTGCCCCTTTGCCAACCCTGAAACCCCAATTTTTTTATTTTTAATTTTCGGTACAACTGCTTAAGCAGGCCACATAAAGTCTTAGTGAGTATTTTTGGGTGGCAGGATCCCATACTGTCCCTTAATTTAAACGCTGTTTTAATTGAAGTTGTATCTTTCAAGGGAATCCTTTAGCATACAGTACATTTTTTCTCTCTGCCTTGATGCTAAATTCAATGGAAGGCTTTGAATAGAGGAGGTTTAAAGCTGTAGTCTTCAGTAACAGGCAGACATTCATTAAGTCAAAAGGACTTTTGTACAGTTTGGGTAAAAGGAGCGGATGTGCAGAAGCTTTAGTTGGCAGCATTTTGGAAGCACTTAAAATAGAGAACGTTGCCAGAGTAATTGCCTTCAAATGTGTCTCTTGACATTGTGGGATAGATAGTTGCTTTTAAAGGAGCACAGCGTTCGCTTTTTGAACTCTTTCATCCTTTCTTTTCAGAAATGATTGTGGAAAAGGTCAAACGAAAGTCTGAAGTCTAGTGGAGAACTGATATTATAAAATTAAGTAGAGTCGGATCTCTTTCCCCACCAATTTTCGGGTCACAAAAGAAATGATTTGATGTAATCTTCATATTCATCCATATTCTTCGCTGCAGATTTACAGGTAGTCCTTGATGTACGACCACAATTGAGCCCAAAATTTGTGTTGCTAAACGAGACATTTGTTAAGTGAGTTTTGCTCCATTTCACGACCTTTTTTTGCCACAGTTGTTAAATGAATCACAGATGTTCTTCAGTTAATAACACGGTTGTTAAGTGAATCTGGCTTCCCCATTGACTTTGCTTGTCAGAAGGTCATAAAAAGGGATTACGTGACCATCATAAATATGAATCAGTTGCCAGGCATCTGAATTTTAATCAGATGACCATGGGGATGCTGCAATGGTTGTAAGTGTGAAAAATGGTCATAAGTCACTTTTTTCAGTGCCGGTGCAACTTCGAATGCTCACTAAACGAATTGTTGTAAACCGAGGACTACCTGCAGTGCTTTTTTTATATATATATATAAAAAAGTACCGGAACTCACACACAGCTCCAGCTCTAGTCGAAAGCCCTTTATGGAGTGGAGGGGGGATAAGAAACCACTTTAGGGAGCCTGGAAAAGACCTCTGGAGCTGGGATCCATGGCCGCGGAGTGCGGCTCTCCAGCGGCCCAAGTTTTTGCCTCTGGAGCCTGGATCAGGCTGCTTGGGGGGGCCGCAAAATTGTGGCCATGAATCCGGGCTCCGGAGGCTTGGGAAAGGCCTCTGGAGCCCGGATTGGGCCGCGGGGGATCCTCAAAATCACTCCATGGCCATGGATCCAGGTGGCAGAGGTCTTTTCCATGCCTCCGGAGCCCAGATCCGGCTGCAGGGGGGTGTGGACGCGTCCCCTGGCCTCAGATCGGAGCGGCAGCAGGAACCGTAGCAGAGAAGAGACAGACCTTTTCCAGGTGAGTCCCACGCAGCAGGAAGGGAGGGGGAAGCATGACAGCATTAAGTGAATGCTCCAGGATTACCTGTACTCGTGCTGGCACTTAGAAGGAACTGGTTCTATGACAAAAAAAGCACTGACTACCTGCATTTGATCAGCTGAATCAGCTAGAAAAAGAAACATGAAGCTTTTCTTAAATCCCTTTTAGCTTGGATAATCTATTGTCTTTTTTAAAGCTGACATTTAAATTCATGAGCTATGTAGCTGTTAGATGGAGCAATTAAAATCTCAGGTTTTGAGCCTTGTTTCTGGCAAGGAGAAAGAAGAAATTCATTCAGTTTGCATTTGAATATGAACTTTCCCAAGTCTCTAGTTGGAAATTAGTAAAGAACAGAAACTTGGCTAACGTTCTAAATGGGCACCTTTCCAATGTTTGCAGCTCAATGCAACATTTTTTAAAAAATGATTATTAAGGGAAGTCTATACAAAGTGCATAGAAGACAGTAAAGCTCAAAAATACACTATGTGACGGAAAACTATTTGCAGAAACTGGAGACATTAGCAAAATCGCAGAGAAAAATAACACGCTTTTGAAGAAATGTGTATACATAAATGCATCCACGTCTTGCTATTAGCTTTTTGGAAATACAGGCAGTTCTTGACTTACGAACGCAATTGAGCCCAAAACTTCCATTTCTAAGCAAGACAGTGGCTAAGTGAGTTTTGTCCCATTTTATGATCTTTCTTGCCATAGTTCTTAAGTGAATTATTGCAGTTATTAAGCTAACAACATGTTTTTTAAGTAAGTCTGGCTTCCCCATTGACTTTGCTTGCCAGAAGGTTGCAGAAGGTGATCAGATGACCCTGGGACAGCATAGGTACATGCCAGTTGCCAAGCCTCCAAACTTTGATCACATGATCATGGTGATGCTGCGACTGTCGTTAAGTGTGAAAAACGGTCATAAGCCACTTTTTTCTGGTGTGGTTGTAATTTCAAACGGTCACTAAA